TTAAGTGTCCATTAATTAAGTGTCTAACTTTGCTTAAAGTGCACACGACTGTCTTACAGCATAGGTTTAACTATCAGCTCCCAACAGCACACATCAATGCTCAGATACACTTAAAACAGCTACAGACTATACAGGCTTAAGTTAGCATATTAAATATAAAGTAAATGACAGTACAATTAGAAAAAGACAGCGGAAGAATGGGTTATGCATCTGTAGGTTCTCCGTCATCCAGGACATGGTAGTCTTAAGACTTTGAAAAGAAGGTAACTGGACTTCTCCAAGGTTATTTTAAAGAGTTTTCACCTCTCATCTAAAAGGCTTCTCCAGTTTTAAAACAAGAACTACAGCACCATGTTTGGAGAAAAGCAACCACAGCCTATCAGCACACACACCTCATACCAACTGTGAAGCATAGTGGTGGAGGTGTGATGATATGGGCTTGTTTTGAAGCCACAGGACCTGGGCACCTTGAACTCACAGAGTCAACCATGAACTCCTCTCATCTGAAGTTGTATTCTAGATTCAGATGTGAGGACATCTGTGTAACAGCTAAAACTTGGCCCAAACTGGTTCATGAAGCTGTGGCGGGAGCTTAAACATGGAATTATATTTGTGGTAAAATATAATTATGAGCAAAGTATTTCACCTCACAAGCACAGGCACAATGCTGCTTATTCAATCCTATAAGGATCTGGGAGTTCAACTGGATCACGAGCTGGAGTGCTCAGCTAACACTGACTTCTACGAAGGCTCAGATCATTCAATGTATGCAACAGGCTGCTCTACATGTTTTATCAGTCTGTTGTTGTGAGCACCATCTTCTTTGCTGTGGCGTGCAGGCATCGAAGCAAAGGACGCAAACAGACTGAACAAACTCATTGGCAGAGTCTGTTCTTGGCATGAAGCTCGCCACCATGGAGGAGGTGATCAGTGACAGAATGCTGACAAGACTGCGGGCAATCATGGACAATGACTCCCACACTTGGGACAAGCTGAAGAACAGTTTCAGCAACAGCTTCCTTGAACTATCTGAAAGAACATTAAAGGAGGTCATTCCTTTCTGCTGCTATCACACTCTTCAATTCATCGACTTGGGTCAGGTCCACACGTGTGGAACAGAATTAATCACGCCTCAATGCATCCTGTCACTCTTGTACACCACAAGATATATTTGCATGCGCACTTGTCTTTTTATATTTATACCTATATCTCTATATTTATCTATTCATCTTAATATTTATCTATCATTATCTCTGTTTCTACCCTCATTTTATATAAGTGCTTGATGTTTGTTGTATATTTGCTGCTATGACAACCCAATTTCCCTCTGGATTAATAAAGTCTCTCTGATTCTGAATTAAATTCCTCACATGTAAATTCAATAACATACACAGGTAGAACTCAGCAACCAACTACACAGAGAATCCATTACAAGAGTATCCACTTGACAAGTGCTACAGCAGATTCACGCTCTTGCAGGCAGTGCTCGCTCTAATCAGACTTCTCATAGTGATTTCAAACGAGTAATTCCACAACCTTTGTGACTGAGACATTCATATTATACCCTCAAACGAAATGACACTATGACAGCAACATAATTGCTCTTTAATACCATATCTGTTCACAATTTAACAAATAAACTTTGCTGAATTAACTGCCAATAGTTATTTTTTTGCGGTGTAATGACGGAAATACTGACATCAATGGATGGACTTTAATGCTTCCGTTGGGCTCTGCCCTCCAAACTGTCAAAATTTAGACTGATCAGAGCAAGCAGAATTCAGCTTTGAGAGCACAGTTGCTTGTGAGAGCAATAACACTTTATTTCTTTATTTATGGTACCATGATTGCATCAGTTTGCACAGGTATTTGCCCATCTAGGGCCCACAAAGAGGTTTTCAACCAAAGCAAATGTGCCTCTGTGCAGTCCTCCAAAATCCCAAATGCATTCTGCTCAATATGACGGCGATGCTGTCCACCATTATAAGCTTTATGAACAGGGAAGGCTGTGACAGTGGAGTTGACTAGGAATGGAAGAAGCATGAAGAAAACCTAATCAAGGCTTTTAAAAAAAGAAAAACACCATAAGAAACACAGACAGTGGCTGCAGTGGACACTTAATTGTTTTTAACACTGCATTTAATTTTAGCTTTTTGAATGTAGAGATGGGAATAAACTCAATAAACTCAGTAGCTCACTTCCTTTCAATTGCTGCTCTTCTTGGCAGTTGGATCCGCTTATCAGTTCCAATTGCACTTGTGCAACAATCAGCTGATTTTAGTTTGTGAAGGGAGGATGAAAATAGTGACAGTCTACAGCGTGGATATGGACATTACTTTTATTTTTATTGAAAAAAAATGTTGCAGATTTTGCAACAATGTTGCCGATGTAAAGCGCAAACATCTGCATTTGCAAGCACCTGCACAGACAGCATGCTAACGCTAAACTAGCTAAGAACCCAGAGTGATGTTAAAGCTGAGTGAAATTGGTGTGTGGAACTTTACCCTATAAGTTGATATTGTTAACTAGTGTTTGGTTGTTGTAACCGGGTATTGTTAACTATGAGGCAGCGTTTTTCAGGTCATTTTACGGAGAAAACATATTGTACTATAAAGAAAAGTGTTCTGTGTAAGATTGCATTATTTTCTTTGATTAACATTGGACATAATATAGAGGGAAAATACCTGCAACACACACTAAGATTTGACCACATAACGTAATTTATTCTAGACAAATGTCATGTTTTTGATAGACTCTCAAAGCTGAGCTAATGAGAATTGATAAGGAATCAAATCGAAACGCGATTTAAAAATGGAACAAGAATTGCTAAATTTGATCAATTCCCATCCCTATTTGTATGTTAGAACTTCTCTCTTCTCTGCAGCTTGCTGACAGACCAACAACATCACCAGCAGGAGCCCACAGATGGACTGTATGACATATTTATGACATTGTCCCCGTCTGACAACAGACGCTCTTTGCAGGTAGATGGACTGTCTGAGCATGCAAAAGGACTGCAAACAGGCAGACATGCAAACATAATTTCCCCATTAACCTGCTGCAATGCTCACCAAACAGACACTCTCACGTGCATGATGAGTTTTTTTTTGGCTGCTGAGATCTACACATGCAGGTTGTTGAATTTATGTGCAAGGAATTTAATTGTGCATACCGCATTAAATAGCTGCCCCTGTGCAATAATATTATTTGCTCATGATTATATTTTTACACGCCAATTTTTACACAAACATAATTTGAGTTATTGCTGCTACAGGTTGGTCTACAACTTACTGAATCACGGGTTATTCTTAGTTCTCTAACTTTCCTTTTCACATGACAAACAGACAACATCAAAAAATAGTGAACCTCTTCGTCTTCATTTATTACCCTGGGAAAAAAAATGACTGTGATTTAACTCTGGGAAGGTTTTGATTCAGAGCAGATCACAAATGACGAGTGATTTTCTAAATTACTGTGAAAAGCTCTCCATGCAGAGAGGGACTGAAAATGAGAAACTGCTGCAGTCTAGTCTCTAAATATTACCATTAGACCAAATGACCCATTATGTTGTCTGGAAGCACAGGGAGAAGATTTGTCTTCCCTCTAAATCTGCAGTGCTTCTAATCCTTTATCTCAGCACAAGAGAAGGAGAGTGCACAGACACACAGAGGCTTGTGACTCGGGACGACGGTGAGATTATTGTACATTTTGTGCAAATAAATGGCTGGATTTTAAATGACCTTTCACTTTAAATCTGCAGGAATCCCAACGGGCTGCGGGAAGAGCATTAAATATTTACCAGCTGAGAAAGACTGCAGTAGCAGTTTTGCCACTTCTTCGTTGTCTATATGAAAAGAGGATTTACTGTGCCAGACACATTACTAGGTCAGTGCTGCGCTGAGTTCTTATACCAGAACATCACTCATTTGCTCATTCATTAGCCTCTTCCTCAAATCATCAGGATTTGAGAGGAGCACACAGGAGAAAGGACTATTCACATATGAATATAAATCACTTCTGGGTTCAGTTAAATTCCTGGTGATGCAGAGAAACGCAGAGCGATCTTACGGTTTCAGCAGCATATTAGAGCTGTGACAAACAATGAGCGCTCCAGCTGTGATTAAATTAGGAGAACTGCCCGCCTACTAAGGTATTTTCCAGTCGCACAGTGTAAACAAACATCAGACGGTGCAGTTTACCCACAATAATGATAAAAAAAGCTTTATCATTAAAC